CCCTCCTCTGCTTAAAACGCTCCAGTGATTTCCCAATGTACTTAAAAAAAAATCTAAAAGCTTAAAAAAAAAAAAAAAAAAAAAAAGAACCAGAGGTCTTGTCACTGGAGGCGCGATCAGCCTGCCTTGCTTGGGAACAAAGCTATTTTCTCCTGCCGTGCTCTCGGGCTGCCCTAGTCAAGCAGGAATCCTCTGAAGATTGGGGGAAGGCAGCAGAATGACAGGCCCTGGACGCGCAGGAGACAAGCATATTTTTAACCTATTGATTTATATTTTATACTCTTGCTGTTCCCAGAGGGGATTTCAAGAAGCGGGAATATGACAGCTGGAAGGGACCTCAAAGTCTGTTTAATCCGGCCCCATCCAGGGTGAAATCCTCACCCCCACAGCCGTCTCGAGCACCTGCCATCTGGGCTCTGCTCGCACGCCTGGAGGGGCGGGGGGCTCAGCCCCTACCGTGGTGCCCGGGCCCCTGCGTGGGCTGAGCCCAGTCTCCCGGTAACTTCTGCCCGTGTGGACTAGTTCTGCCACTGTGGACGATCACCAAGGGGTGCCCCCTCCCTCTCCCTTCTGGGTGACATTCCCCACTCATGCCCACCCCCTTCAGCCTAAGCTCCAGCCATTCCTGGCCTTTGCACAAGCTGTTTCTCATCTTGGGACCCTCATCCCCCCACCACCTCTAATGCCTTGGTTAAATGCTACTCAGCTTTCAGATCTCAGGCGAATTGACACCGCCTCCAGGAAGTCCCCCAGGCCCCTCCCCTGGATTCAATGTCCCCTCCAAAATCCTTCAGACCCTGCGCTTCCCGCTGCCCCAGCCCAGCTCACGGGGTCTGTTACCAACACTGGGTAATGAGCCCTTTAGGGAGGGTACTGTCTCTTGTTTCATGCCCCAGCACTGGGCATAGCGCCTGCTGCATTATGAACACTCAAACCGCTCACTGGAAGAAACAGAGGTGGCATTTCCCAAAGTGAGTATAAATAAGGCAATGAAGCCAGGCAGAGGCGATGCCCTGGGCATCCATTCACAAGCCACCCTCTTCTGTCAAGAGGGCACCACCCCTCTTTGTGCAGGGGGACGGACTTGCTCTCCTGGCACCACCCTGACCGGCTAAGCCTGAGGAGAGTCTGGGGTCCCGAGACCAGGACCCGGGTTGTGCCTGCTCGGGGCTGACGCAAGGAGCTGCCCAGCTGGTCAGCCTGGGGGACGGAGAGAGCAGGGCAGCCCCAGCCGGCACCCCTGACTCTGCAGTTGGCAGCGGGAAGGACCCCTCTGCTTTGGGGGCAGAACCTTCAAGCTCCAGGCACCTCGGTTTCTGGATCTACAATGAGGAAATAATACCCAGCGTCCCCTGGGAGGATGGGGATAAAGTTGTCAGCAGCACCTGGGAAGTGACCCCCACACACCTTGTTAACACTCGCCAATGCCAGCTTTGTCACCGACGTGTGGGCACCAGGGCACGCGGTTCACCCACATCAACTCTACCCCTGGGAATCCTATGGGGCCACCGTGTTATGATCCCCATTTGACAGATGAAGCAACGACAGCAGAGAAAGCTTAAGTACTGCGCCAAAACCGACTCATCCAGGAAGCAGACGAGCGGGATGTCTGCTTCCTGGATGCAGAAACTATGGGACTTCGGAGCTTAACTGCCAGGCTAAACCCATGTTCCAGAACAGACGTCTATTCAACGTCGTTTCAAAGAACTGAAATGTATGACATGCCTTCTGGGGCCCTCGGCTAGTGGGTTTGGAAGTGAAATATCCCAGGAGCTATTTTTCCAGCAGCTGGTGTGTTACTGCAGCTCTGGGGCGCTTTGATCTGGGCGGGAGAAAAATCCGGAATGTGAGCTGGGGCTTCTGTGTTCGGGCCATTGCCAAGGGTCTCCTCCCCGCCCGAGGGGCCGCCTGAGCCCACAGCCCACTGGAGTCACAGGACGGTAGGAAATCCAAGGAGAAGACAAGGATTGTGAGCTGCCCCTGCCCGCGGGAGGACAGGCCACAGCATCACTATCACCACACCATCCCGCATCACCCCTGTGTCCTGCTTTCTGCCTTCCAGTCCTCTGGGCCCTGCGGGTGGGCAGGCTCATGATGGGGGTGCTGGGGGCTTACGCTGTGCCAGCTCAGCACGTTTATCATCGGATCCTCACTCGGCCTCCCAGGGAGGGGTCACTACCATTGTTCCCATTTTACTGATGAGGAAACCGAGTCACAGAGCTGACAGCTCGCTCATCTGACATTGTACACAACAGAAGCAGGGCCTCTTGTGGCCAACCCAGGGCTTTCATTGGCTCTGTTTCCATCACCCGACTTCTCCGTGACGTCCGCCTTCCCAGCATGGGATGCAGAGATCCCCCTGGCTGCGCCCTCCACCCCGAGAGACCAAGCCGTGACCCCAGAGGAGCCAACCTCTCTGGACTTTCCCCAAACCTGCCTGTCCCTGAGGCCGCTGGGCCAGATCCTCTGTGAAGGCAGAGGTTAGGGTTAGTGCCCCTTTGATCCCCCCCAAATTCCCGGAGCTTAGCTCAGAGCAAAAGTTCACCAAGGTTTGTTGAGTGAGTGAATGAATGAGTAAAGGAATGAATATCCCCGGACAGAAGCTGATGACGAGAGGAACCGGAATCTGTCCTTCAGGCCAAGCCACAGCCGACCCCACTACCCCGATGTCTGGGTTCCCTCCAGAGCCCGTCTGCCTGGACCACCCTTCCTTCTGACCCCAGCAGACACCACCCGAGGGTGCAGAGCACGCCCTGCTCTTGAGCCCTGAGGCTCACTCACAGCAATGCCCAGCCCGACCCTCAGGGCAGGAAGCTCAGGAAGCCTGGTGGGCGTGAGATCCCCCAACCCCCTTACCCAGCGAGAGAGTGTCCCTGGCAGCCAGGCCAGTGGGCAGGCACCAACCCGTGCAGATGCTCGGGCCTGCGCTCAGGAGGCCCTGCGCTTGGTTTAATTCTCTGCTGTCACGTCTGAAATTCTTAAAAAGCTTGAACAGGGGCCCTAGGTTTTCACGACGCAAGGGACCCCATGAGCAACGTAGCTGGTCCCCAGGCAGCTGCCCGCTCCTCTGATGTTCCCAAGTTCAGTGCCCCTCCAGCCCTCCCCATGCCCTGGAGAGAGTGTGTCTACTGGATGCCCAGTTCTACCAAGCCTGCTGAGCCCTGTATCCCTAGTCAGGGAAGCAAGGAGGGCAGCTCAAGGTCAGGGGCTGGAAGGAGGCCCACATGGGCATCAGATTGAACACC